CAAACACATATTTGATTAGATAAAACCATATAAGAGTTGGTGGTAAAGGTAGCTAAATACCAAAGTATTGACTTGCACAATAGTCCAACATCATCAGTGAAACTCTTTACCTTTTAATGTAAAACTGACATTTTATCTGCCAATCTTGCTGTGATGACTATAGGTGAGCAGGGTGTGTATATGACTGAGGTGGCTCCAGGAGGTGTGGCAGACAAAGCAGGAGTCCAAGTCAAAGATCATCTGCTCGAAGTCAATGGGGAGAACGTGGAAAAGTCCTCTCATGATCAAGTAGTGGAAAAAATCAAGCAGGGCGGGAATAGCATCATGTTTCTACTGGCTGATGAGGAAACCAAAACTTTCTATCAGAACAAACGTGCAAAGATGGGTTCACGGTTGGCAACAGTGAAGTACCTGCCACTCCAGCCTCGCATCATTAAGTTGACCAAAGGTTCTGATGGATATGGCTTTATGCTCAGAGAGGAACCCAAACAAACAGGCACGGTTATTATATTTTACTATACCTTAGATTGTTTAGAGACATGACTTATTAATGTGCATCCTGACTTGTTGCAGGACATTTCATTAAGGATATTGACAAAGGCAGCCCGGCACAAAAAGCAGGTCTAAAGGAAATGGACAGGATGGTGGCTGTGAATGGCATGGAGGTGGACAACAGCAGCCATGAGCAGGTAGTGGACAAGATCAAGCAAAGTGGAGACAACTGCTGCTTACTTGTGGTGGACAAAGACACAGACCAAATTTACAAGAAGGTGAGCCACAAACTCATTCTCTATGTTTAATGCAGGATAATATACAGTTATAATATAGCATGTATCTTACAGGGAAAAGTGTCTCCTATGCTCTTCTGGGAGGAAATGAAAGAGTCCAACTCACCGCCCAGTTACACAGAGGCTATGAAAATGCCTGCTTCTGTTCAACCATCCACATCTGCTCAAGAGAAGGAAAAGGATCTGAGGCCTAAATTGTGTAAGATGGAGAAAACCTCTGCTGGCTATGGCTTCCACCTAAATGGCGTTGAGGGTGTGTTTGGTCAACACATCCAGAAGGTAAAACTAACAAGAGTGTCCACTTTTGTGACTGTAACCACTTTAAAACCAAATGGTCACGAATGTTTTCTCGCTTCAGGTGGTGAAGGGCGGAGCAGCAGACGTGGCAGGTCTGGAGGATGATGACATTGTCGTGGAGGTAAACGGGGTAAACGTGGAGCAGAGCACCCATGCAGAGGTGGTGGAAATGATCCACAAAAGTGGCAACTCTCTGGAGATGCTGGTAGCGAACAAGAGCGTCTACAAACAGCTTAAAGCAAAAGGAGTGACTATCGCACCTCGGCTGCTTGAGGGAACAACCAACAGTCAAATCCACACTGCAGACACTCCAGAAATGAGCAAGTCGACACAGAAGGAGGCCTGGTCTGAAACTCCACCTCAAGCAGAAAAACAGAGGGTAAGTGGTACCATTATAGACGTTTTAACCAGGTTGGTTGTAGACATGACAAGGGTTCCATGCAAGCTCAAATGCTTTACCTGAATTGCATTTTTCAAATATTTGAGGTGAATGAGTTTTTGAACTGACTTCTACCACCAAAAGAATGTACTTGGTTATTTTTATAGAATTTTGAAAATTTCACATTTACGATCAGTCTAAGTTGCCTTACAAGTGATGCTAGATTTAAACAATTTTACATTTTTTAATAAGATGGGCAGACACAAGCAAAAAAATACAGCATCACTTCCTGCTTTAGCTAATACCTAAGAAAGCGGGTGTGTGTGTCTGTAGTTTTAAGTTAAATAGTGGTTTTTCCTTGGTGTGTTAAAGGTGAAGGTGTGGTGTTGATTGACAGTGGTTATCAGTGCTGATAAAGAATGAATGGATTTGAGCAGTTACGGCTTGTGAACATGAAAGAGTTCATCCACTTTGAGACGAGAAGGTTGTTCAGGCATTTTCTGGGGAACATCATGTCTTTGTAGACATTTGACAAAAATTTTGGTTCCTTTGATTTTTATGTTTAGCTGATCCAAGTTAACCTTTGTCTTCCTTTTACTTGTGCAAATAAACAGTTGCTATATCTTGCCACGGCTGCTCTGTTCCTCATTAACAAAAAATGTTAAACGTTGTCAGTTTAATTTTCATTCTCTTCGTCGTTAACTTTTGTGTTGACATCTTGCATGAATGGTGGTTGATCCATATCACTTTGATAAACAAATGTAAATTCCCCCTTGTGAAGTTTTATTGTTATGCAAGACAAAAAAACATTCAGCTAGACTGTGGTTTATTGGCTAGTGTTACCATAAAAACAAAATTTATGTGCAAGCCAATTTAAGAACAGGATAGGTAGAAAATTCTGTCAAAATTTAGAGCATTTTATTGAATATTTACATAGCAATTACAATAAAAATCACTGTTCTATAAGTATCTTGTTTGGATGAAAATGCAACTAAAACAGCCAAATTAATATTATTTTAATGACACTGTCTATGTGCTACGGAGCCTGCGAGGGGACACGGGGGGATTTTTTTTTCCTTTTGCATTCCCACGCAATACCTTTGTGTTCCCATGCAATACACCTTTGTGTTCCCATGCAATACCTTTGTGTTCCCATGCAATACACCTTTGTGTTCCCATGCAATGCCTTTGTGTTCCCATGCAATACACCTTTGTGTTCCCATGCAATGCCTTTGTGTTCCCATGCAATACACCTTTGTGTTCCCATGCAATGCCTTTGTGTTCCCATGCAATACACCTTTGTGTTCCCATGCAATGCCTTTGTGTTCCCATGCAATACACCTTTGTGTTCCCATGCAATGCCTTTGTGTTCCCATGCAATACACCTTTGTGTTCCCATGCAATGCCTTTGTGTTCCCATGCAATACACCTTTGTGTTCCCATGCAA